AAGAAAGAAAGAAAGAAAGAAAGAAAGAAAGAAAGAAAGAAAGAAAGAAAGAAGATATTAGCATATCCCTAAGGGTTTGGATGAAGAGAAATCAGTTTTAGCTCAACCCAAGCAAGATGGAGTGGCTCTGAGTTTTCGGAGCCCAGTTTGGGTGAAATATCTTTTAAGCTTGCCAGGGTTTCACTCCCCCAGGCAGAGCTGTGGTACACAATTTGGGGGTCCTCCTGAACTCACAATTCTTGCTCAAGAAGCAGGTGGCAGCTGTGGCTACTGGGCCTTTGAACAGATCTGTCTTGTGCACCAAGTGTGGCCATTCCTGGACCAGTAGGCCTTCCTCACAGACACTCATGCCCTGATCTCTTCCCAATTGGATTACTGCAACGAACTCTACACGGAACTGCCTTTGAAGACCATCCAGAAACTACAACTGGTCCAGAATATGGCAGTACTTGCAGTTATGGCTGTTCCACATTTTGCTCATATTACACCACTGCTGTGCAAGCTGCACTGGCTTCCAGTTTCCAGATGCAATTCAAGGTGCTGATTCTCACCTTTAAAGCCTAAATGGCATGGGACCAGGCTACCTGCAGGACCACCTCTCCCTGAGGGATGCTGCCTGTCACACTAGGTCAGGTAGGGTGGGCATACTCCAGGTCCCTTCCTTAAAAGCTATTATCTAGTGGGACCTAGGAAGCACACCTTCTCTGTAGCTGCCCCTGCCCCATGGAACACCCTTCCCCCAGAGATCTGGCAGGCCCCCTCCTTGCCTTCTGGAAGGCCTCATAGAGCTGCCTCTTCCCAAAGCATTGGAGTAGAATGAGGCTGGAGCGCAGCATAATGGTATACAGATGTATGGGAGAGTGCTACCTTGGGGTCCCTGGGGTCTTTATAGAGGTTTATAGAGGTTTACAGAGGTTTTATTGGTTCTATTTTTGGCTGGGGGGGGTTGGTTTTACTGTTTTGTATGCTTGCCAGAGCTCTTACTACAATATGGGCAGCTATATACATTTTTATAAAAATAATAATTATCAGTTTCATCACACTTCAGGTTGCCATCAGTTTTCCTATTATTTAGGAAATATATTGTTGTTCAGTCGTTAAGTCGTGTCCGACTCTTCATGACCCCATGAACCATATTGCACCAGGCCTTCCTGTCCTTCACTGCCTCCCTGAGTTTGCTCAGGAAATATATTATTATCTGGTTATTTTCATGGCAATGGAAATTTGACTAGCTTGCTTTCTACCCAGTATATCCAAAAACAATGGAATTCTAGAGTCAGCTGTTAAATTAGCTTTTAAAAGTAGTTGCCTGAAGCAAATCAGATCTCTGATTTTCATTCCTGGCTAGTCCAAATCTCTTTCTTTCTCTTCCCCTTCCTCCCTAGTTTACTGGACAATCAGGCACATGCTTTATTGAGATGCAACTTTCTGCTAGTGTTCCTATTTGTAGGAAGCCACAGAGATCACATAGATTGAAATCAGAGGAGACAAATATGGGTGAACAGTGAATCACTAAGAGACTTCATAAGACCTTAGCCCTGTGGATAAAAAATAAAGGTTATAAGGAACTGTAGTAATCCCAAATCATATGAGGTTGGTATTTCAGATGGCAGTGTACTAATTGTATGCTTCTGCATTCTCATAAACAGAAAGAAAAGATAAAGTATGATGCATCTTAGCAAGTTACAGAAACAACAAGTCCCTTAAAATCCACATTGCTCAAATCAGAAGACGTACAACAGTCAAAATGACAAAGCATAAGAATTAAAGATATCCAAATTAATCAACCCTTGAATGAGAAGAAATTTTAAAGTACTGAATATTGTAAGTATTTAACATAAATAGTCACTAATGTTATGTTAGTTCTTGTTAGTTTAGTTCTGGTTAGAATTGGTTCTAGTTAGTTCTAGTTCAGGTTAGAACTAGAAACCTAGGAGTTTTATCATAAAAGAAAAAAGAAATAAATGTATATGATACAGAAGGGCAGAAACAGGCTAGGGCAAAAATTGAGGGATATAGGGGAAGCAACATAATTATAAGCAAAGAAGACTATCCATTGTGAGTTCACCTCCCAAATAGCAAAGAATGAAAGTAAACCTGTTAAGTGTCAGATGTTCATAACAGTTATAGCAGTCTGGGATTGATCTTGAACCCTGCTTTGAAAAATAAATAGGGAACACATAGCAACTTGACACACAACATGAAGATTAGCTATTGGTCTAAATTCAGTTCTTCACTCAATTGTCATTGGAGAACAAGTCTAAACAAACAGAGAAAGGACAGCCAAACTGAATGTGATATGAGGTGATTCATGCCTTTAGGTCTGAGTCTCTACTTCTTTTTTAATGATGCGTGGGATGAGGGGGCTGGATTGGCAAGATGACATGACAAACAGGGCTTTAAGACTTTGTCCTCACTCCAGTTCCAATGAGATGAGTGTTCCCAGTTGTACCAATGTTTGGACATTCACCCATCCATGTTTGTACATCTAGCTGCTTGACAGAAGAAAACCAGACAAAATCTGATCCAGCTGAAGCAACTGTTCACAGCAATAATATCTGCATGAGATTACACGGCAATCAGTGCAATTTCTTAAATATTCAGGATACTATCCCCATAATCAGCAATAGATAATCAAAGAGATAAAGCTGTTTCTGTTATTGTGCGAAATAATGTGTAAGGATTTCTTCACAAAGATCATGACAGGCATATTATTGCCTATTATTTCTTTTGGCATTTATACTGGAGGTTTTGCAGACAGACACTTAAATTACTTGGATGTGTTTAGATATACTTTTACTGATTGATTCCATGTCTTGTGATGTTAGATAAATGATTTCCAAATTATATGCCACTAGTTCAATTCTACCAAAGAATTTCAGTGTCTATCTATGTATCTCCCAAAAATGGCTTTTTTGCTGCAATAATATGAAATGTTGCTGTTGTGCCTACACATAAATCATTTAAAAACAGAAATGGTTTGTCTTCCTTAGAGAAGTTCCAAACAATTACTTTTTATGTATCAATTTCTTCAAGCATGTTAAGCAACACAATATTTTTCCAACGTAGCTGAAAGTAGCCACCTGTCCTGTGTAGTATATAATTGCCAGCAATTTATCTTGTTGAAAATTATCAAAGTCTGCATGAAAATCTGTAATTATATCCCTCATGCTGAGATTATTATATCTCAGTGACTCCTCGTTTGAAGCATTTAAACAGAAAAGACAGCCGTAGTCACTGACGCGTGTTAGAAACTCCCCATTGTAGAGTTTCCCCATTGGCTTTGACCCAAGCTACATGTCAGTTAACTACACCATTTGAAGCCAAATGTTTAATAAAGGTTAAATAAATAAATACATGCGTACATGCGTACATACACTTGGCAAATCATTTATTCTATGCATTCAATATTGAATGCTTTCATTCGTTTACTTTTTTCTGGAAAAGCAACAGCTGGGCTTCCTTTGTGGCTGTAGTTATTCCTGCCATGAATCCAGTAGGAGTAAAATGTCAAATTTGCTCCCAGGGTTATCATCTTTGCACTGTTTAGAAAGTTGACAAAAGACGGTTATGCCTAGCACATTCTGGAAAGTTTGTTTACTTACTTATTTTGCATTCCTGTCCTGATTTTTCTCTAAGAACCCAGGGCAGCTTAAACGGGGCACTTGCATCATTTGATCCTTACAACAACAGTCCTGTAAGATAGGTTGGGTGGTGAGAGAATGACTGGCCTGACCCCAGGTTAACAAACCCTTACCCCTGCTGGACTAAACAGGATGATGTGGAACAATCTCACTATTTGATTCTCTGGTAAGGTATATATATGTATATGCATGTGTATGTGTACATGTATATGTATACGTGAACCGATTAACCCAGAGTTTTCACTCGAGGCACAAATGACCAGGCTCAAATTATCTACTTCAGACATATTAAGAACAAGCTCTCTGGAGAAGGCTCAAATACTGGACCCCTTACAGACTTTCTGCATGAAATGGGCAAAAATGCATTTATGATCTGTGGCTTTGGTGATTAGAAAAAAAACTGGACAATAGAAAAGAGGGAGCTTTTTTTGTAATCATAGAGTAAGAATTAATTCTGTAATTGTACTTATATTTGCTGCAAAAGAAATCAGAAGCTTCTTTTTTTCTGTCTTTCTGCACGTTTTCTTTCTTATTTCTTCTCTTTTTCTTTCTTTGCTTCTTTTACTCTTTATCAGTTTGTGTTGGTTCTTATGTTCTTTGTAAAACTTTTAAATAAAATTTATATTAAAAACAGAGAGAGAAAGCTCTAATGCTGGGAAAGGTGGAAGGAAAGAAAAGAAGACAACCAGCAGCAATGTGAATGGGCTCAGTTACAGTGGTAATGGGTGCACCTTTGGAAAAGCTAAGTGGCATCATCTAGCCGATATTTTATAAGTTCATTAAGGAGAATATCATAAAGACTTTTATCAAAGCTTTTGCTGAGGTCCTTATACACTATATTTATGACATTCCCCTGATCTTCCAAGCTATACTTCTATCAAAGGAGGAGATAGTCTGACACAGTAGTCTGGTTTGTGACAAACCCTTGCTGGCTTCTACTAATTGTAGCATGCCTATTCAATGTTCACAAACATGCTTCTTGATAATGTGTGTGAGGACCTTACCCAAAATATACATTAAACTGACTAAGGTCTGTAGTTTGTAGATCCTCATTCCTTCCCTTTTTGAAAATGGGAAGAACCTTTGCTCTCCTCCACTCTTCTGGGACTTCATCAGTACTCCAGGACTTCTCAAATATTACCAAGAATGGTTATGCGATGAACTCCATTAGTTCCTCCAGTACCCTGAGATGTAATTACCCTGCCCTAGAAACATGAATTTGTTAAAATGAGCTAAATCTTCTCTTACCCTCTCCATGTCTGTCCTAAGCTGAAGTTCCCTCAGTCCCCCCGTGGCATAATGACGACCAACTAGGGCTCCTTTTCTCTTTTGAGAGAGCTCTGTAGGTATCTGCTTTGGCCTTGTGAGATTCCTTCCATTTTTCTTTCATGTGTGGATTATTTGCAATTATGCCTTCAGAATCTCATTTTTTAGAGCTTTCCAGCCTTCCAGGGCACTTTTTTTTTTCCCTAGGATCTCATGCCATTGGATCCAATCAAGCCTCCTTCAGAATTTATGAAAGTCTACTCTTCTAAAGTCCAGTACGCAGCTTTGACTTTTCTCAGTTTCTCCTCTTCTGGATATCACAAATTCAAAGATAACATGATCATTTCTCGCAGGCTGGCATTTGCCTTCATTTCCTCAACCTATTCCTTTCTGTTGGTGAAGATTAGTTCCAGGATAGCAGGCTCCCTTGTCCTTTCTTCCACCTTCTATCAAATGAAATTATCAACAACAGATGACAAGAATTTGTGGGACCTTTTTGTCTTGGCAGAGTTAGATTCCCAGCAGATGTCAGGATAATTGAAACCCATTATTATCACTTTTTTCACTCTTTGTATATTCTGCCTGTTCAGATAGCCTATAATAAACTCCCTCGTAAATTTTACTTTTGTTTCTCTCTCCTTTTATACATACTGAAATGCTTTCAACAGGATTTCCATGCTCTGATTCCTGATTTTTTGTACAAGTATATTCTTTGTTTATGTACAGTGCACCTTTTCTACTGGATCTGTTCCTTTTAAATAAATGGTAACATTCCAATGCTGTGTGCCAATCATGAGATCATCCCACCAAGTTTGAGTGATTCCTGTCATACCACATTAATCTTCCTGAGCTAGGATCGCTAGTTCTGTTTATTTCCCATATAGTCAGCATCACTGTAGGAACATAAGAGCTATTGGATACAGGGCCCTGCCAAAAGTCTGAGCCCCATATTGGTTTCCTTCTTCCTCCTTTGGTTCTGCCTCCTTTGCCTCAGTCACTGGCTACATATTCACAGTTCTGGGCTTTTTCCACCCTTCCCATTTTCTTTTAGTCTAATGTCTTCCTGATGATATCATGAGGCATTTGCTAGAAGTTTCTTTCCCAGTTTTGTAACACATATATAATTCTTCTCAGGAGTTCTTTCTGAAGCACATGCCATTGTCATAGAATTGAAATCCTTCTCGGTGACATCACCTACATAGCCAGTTGTTGACTTTCAGGATCAGTTTTCTCTTCTTGTGTCATAACTCTTAAGAGCAAAGGTTGATAGAAAATCTATCTGTGCTCCTAGTTCCTTCACTTTTCTGCCCAAACCTTCATAGTCTCCAGATATTTTTTCAGAAACTCATTTCTTCCCACATGAATTGTTCCATTCTAAGTCCCCATTCCCTGCTTCTTGGTCATTGACCGAGAGCACAGCACAGATGGCCAAATGGCACACATATACCCAAGCATATAGCCACTGCTGGTAAAGAGGTTGGGAAGTGTCCCAGAAAGTATGTTCTGCATGCATTCCATATCTTGTTAAATAATATAATAGCCATATTAAGTGGAAGGATATAAACTGCCATCATGGTATTTAATGGTAACAGTGCTGAATAAATGTGTCAGAACTGGGATATCAGAGAGATCTAGAATGGCCAACCTATCAATGCATGTTGTCTTTAATACAGTTCCTTCAGGGAAAACAGTTTCAGTCATATGGGCCTCATTCAACAAGCTATTAAGGGATATTCCTTTGAACTTTGCTATGAAATATTCTCTTTCTCTCACAGTTGTGTTCTGTCAACTGCTCTCTCTTCTGATCGCCTTAGTACAATGCAAACGGTATTTGAAATGACTGAGCAGCTTCTGTAATATAAAGGCATGGTAGATCTGTATTACTATCTTGTGTTCAGACTTGTTAGATCTGGT